CATTGAAAAAAATTTAGCCTCAGAAGTCTTAGAGCATCACTTCCACATATTTTTATTGAGTATGAAGGATGAAAAAGAAGGCCCAGTTTCAAGGGGACTACTTTTCTACCTCAATATAGGACCATGTTTACACTGTAGAAGAGCATGTCAGATGGAAGATATTGCAGTAATCTTTGGAAAAGTTAATTGACCTTGTTATCTGTATCTTATTTTCTAGTAGTTTCTTTCACAAGAGTTCATGGAAACATTATCCCATGAGTTCTTGCATGTCAATAGTGATTTGAAGTTTGTATAGAAAGTAATTTTGGTTAGATAATCATTAGCTCATTTTTTTTCTGTTGAGAAAATCACATATTTGGTGATTGACTCTGATTACAATTTGACTTTTTTGTGATAAATGACTTGGCCATTTTATCTAGATATCCAGAGATTGTTTATTTGACATTCACTTTATATTCCTTTAAGAGTATGTGTGTAAATTTCAGAAATATTTTCTTGAGTTATAGTTTCAATATTTGTTTTGGTTCATGAGTTTTGGTTTTTCTGTTTAAAAGTACGCTACTGCCCAGATTTAAGAAAAGGAATCTTGAAGGCTGGGGATTTAGCTCAGTGGTGCCGTTGCCTGTCTCGCAAGTGCAAGGTCCCAAGTTCAATACCCAGTACTCCCCTCCAAAAAAAAAGAAAAGAAAAGGAATCTTAAATTTTGTTACACATTGCTGGTAGATATCTAGAAAAATTATTGCTACGTATATAATGTATATGCATATTTGTTTTCCCCTCTCTCAACAACCTTAGGTATTATCTCCCTTTTGAAATTGTCAGTTGGCAAAAAGTAATACCTTATTAGTTTTTCAGAAATGTTATTGATTACTTGCAAGGTTATCTACTTTTCGTATGCCTATGGTTCATTTGCATTTTTCTATTGTAAATTGTTCCTTTGTCCATTTCCCTGTTACTATCTTTATCTTTTTCTTGTTGATTTATAAGAGCTCATTGAAAATTAGGGATATTAACCTTTTGTTTTTCATGTGTTGTTCATGTTTATTCCCCAGCTATTTACCTTTCATACTTTTTTTTTTTTTTTGGTACCACGGATTAAACTCAGGTCCTTGCACTTGCACAGCAGGTGGCGAAACCACTGAGCTAAATCCCCGGCCCCTTACCTTTCATACTTTAAAAAATTCTTTTAAAATGGTAGGTAACACATCAGTATTTTCCATTATAATTTCTTATCCCATGAAATATTATATATTATTAAATTACTTAAATTACATAAAGAGTGATTTAAAACAATGAGATAAAAATTAAAATATTGGTCGTGAGAATTCTTGAACCATGAGGCCTGAAAATTATAGGGAGAATTAAGGATGTACAAAGATATACATAAATTTGAAGGCAATAACCAGGAAGAATTAGAGATCCTAGTTTAGGCAATATGAAGTAAGCCAAGGAACTAAGACGTTATGGATGATACACACTGATAGAGTGTTCAAGATATAGAATATAGGAGTGATTACTGAGGTACATGGAATTACTTTTAGCTGCTACATATATTTATCTGTATCCACATGTATATAGAAACATACATATTCACACATACATATATATTTATATGTGTGTCTGAGTTCTAATAATTAGAAGAAAATGCATTTCATTAAATAAGGAATATGTAATATTTTAGGTATTTGCTAGGTATGGTATTATAGATCCTTAGAGCTAGGGATCATTTGGGTGATAGAGAAAGAAAGTGAATATATTTTTAGCCATTGAGGTCACCATTGAGTTTTGGCTTTTTTTTCTTTTTTGTTTACTTTTTATTAGTACATGTTTGCAGTACATAATGATTACATTTATCATGGGGAGTTAGTAAACTACATAATACTTCTTTTTTTTTTTTATCCTCTACCCTTCCCATCCCTGATCTTTCCATCTCTCGGTCCCTTTCTCATTTGAAAAGATCTCCCTACTTTCAGTTATCTATCCTTTATTTTGCTTTTTATTTATATTTTGGGTTTCTCATGTAAAAGAAACAATGCAACATTTAAGCTTGTGTGTCTGATTTATTTCACTTACTTCTCAAGATATATGTTTACCTATGAATACCTCAAGTTTATTCTTTATGGTAGAGTAGTACTCCATTGTGCATAAATATCACATTTTCTTCATCCATTCATCTCTTGATGGGCATATAGGCCATTTCCAAGATTTAGCTATTATAAATTTTGCTACTATAAACATGGGTATGCATGTATCACTGTAATATGATGACTTTATGTCTTCTGGGAAGATACCTAGAAGGAGAATAGCTAGGTCAAATGGAATTTCTATGTTTAGTTTTTTGAGGAATCTCTACACTGATTTCCGTACTGGCTGTACTAGTTTACATTCCCACTAACAATGTAGAAAGGTTCCTTTTTCTTCACAGCCTCACCAACATTTCTTATTATTTGATTTATTAACAATAGCCATTGTTTCTGGAGTAAGATGGAATCTCAGTATTGTTTTAATTTGCATTTTTCTAATGGCTAGTGCTGAATATTTTTTCATGTATTTATTTGCATTTGCACTATTCATTTTAGTTGCCCATTTTTTGATTGGATCTTTTATTTTGGGTGTATAAGTTTTTTCAGTTTTTTATATATTCTAGATGTTAGTCCTCTGAAGAATAGTTGACAAAAATTTTTTTTCCATTTCATAGGTTGTCTCTTCACTCTGTTGATTGTTTTCTTTGCTGTGCAGAAACTTTTTAATTTGATATGATCCCATTTGTTGATTCTTGGTACTATTTCTTGTGCCATTGGGGTTCTGTTTAGAAAGTTCTTGCTTATGTCTTCAAGAGTTTTACTTATTTTATCTTCCAGAAGATTATTTCTATTTTAACATTTAAATCTTTGATCCATTTTTATTTTAGTTTATTATATGCTAAGTATATTGGTCTCAACTTGGTCTTCTGCAGGTGGATATTCAATTTTCCCTGCACTATTTATTAAAGAGGCTTTCTTTCCTCCAGTGTATATTTTCGGCCACTTTGTCAAAGATCACAAAGCTGAATGTGCTGGGGTTGTTTCTGTTTCCTCTATTCTGTTCCATTGATCTGCTTGTTTGTTTTTGTGCTAGTATCATGCTGTTTTTATCATTGTAGCTTTGTAGTATAACTTCATATCTGGGACAGTGATGCCACTGGCTTTGCTTTTATCACTCAGAATTGTTTTTTCTTCTGGCTCCATATGAATTTTAGGATCATTTTCTCCAGATCTGTGAGGAAAGCTGTTGGTATTTTGATTGGGATTCTATTTAATCTATATATAAGTTTTGGAAGTATAGCTATTTTAACTATATTGGTTCTGCCTATCCAGGACCATGGAAAGTTTTCTACAAAGAAAATTACATCACTCTGAAAAAGGAAACCAAAGAATTTTTGTCCAGTTTTTAAAAAGTAAACTTTATAACAACCTTATATGGCAGGTATTATCTTTTTTTATAAGCATTTGGGAAGCAAATTGGCATATTAGAATAAACACAGAGCCAGATAGTAAGATTAAGCACTTAGCTGTGTGACTTTACTTAAACCAGTCCTCTGAATCTTGGCTTGGTCATATGTAAAATGGAATTAAAATAGTGCCTTATTTCAAGGAGCTGTGAAGATTTTCAAAAGAAGTATTTATATTTTCTCCCAAGAGAATAAATAAGATATCCTATTTTAAGCAGTGCATGAAAATTGCTTTTGGAGTTCACTTGAATGGTTATGATTTCTTGTGAAGATTAAATGAAATAATGTGTATAGTTACCCTAGTAGTTGCCTAAAAATGGTGGCGATTATTACAGTTGTTAGGAGACTCCCTCTAATTTAAACTTGTCCAAGGTTTGAACTTGTGTATCACCCTTCACAACCTTGTTTATACCAAAATATAGCATTGGAAAACATTTTATAATACAAATATTCTGTATTTCCTCTTTCATTTTAACAAATATTTACAGACAATGCAATGTAAGCCAGGTCCCGAGGATACAAAAAAGACAGCTCTTACCATGTAGGAGCCCACAGTTGGTAGAGAGGGCAGACAGGTATATGAAAGAAGACATTGTTTTTTAAAAAATTATGCCAGCCAGAAAACTGCATTCTGTAGACCTCCATTCTCCAGATAGCAAAACATGAGATATGTGTCGACGAAATGAAATATTCCAGTCAAATTACAAAATGTGTTTGTTTGTATGCACTTAATACTCCTTACATATTTATCAAGTTGTGTTTTTTCTTGGCTGCATTTAAATCCATGTGCATTTCCTTCCTAATTCTGCTGAGACTGAATGATATACAAGCTGCCCATCTCAGTTATCATCATGAGGAATGAACCAGAAGAGAAGAAAGATGGGCAAATGCTGATTTTAGCATTTGCTTTTCCAATACAATGTGTCTATCTGGGTGGCCATACATTCATTCATTGCTTCCTGGGTTTAGGGGAAAGAGGTAGAAGAAATGTTTCCACTGGTGAACTACCAAGTGCTAAATATCACTGTCAATACTACTAAAAAGAGAACCAGACACATGGATTATTATTGGCCAACATATTTTTTTGGCATTTCTTTTCTGTTATATGTTATAAACAAATGATAGACAATGTATAACAAATTGACAAGTTTATAATAACTGGAACTACATTAGTACATTTTACATTTTATTTACCAAAATATGAGTAATCTATGTTTAAAAAATTAAACGTTGAACCACAGACAAGTTAGATCTAAATAAATAATTCTATTATTGGAGAAGGATCATTTTGGTAGATTAAATGTCATCACTTTTTTAAAAAGAAAATTATATTTAGTATTTTATAATTCCATGATGTTTCATATATTTAGTATAATTCCATATATTTCATATTCCATATTAAAATTTCATATATTTAGTATAATTCCAAAAGTTAAAATTTTAATGTGTAGATTTAGAGAGAGAAATTATCTAGAAAAAGTGAAAGTTATATTAAACAAATTCCATTTATTCCATTTATTGTCCTCTGGACAATACATTTCCATTGATAATTTTACTCTGTATGAAAGTTTTTAATATAAGTTACATGAAGTTATAAAATATAAAAATCGCCCTCTATCCTTGGAGGATTTGCAGTTTAATGTGGAATAAGCAAACTATGTAGTAGAAACTCAAATCACACAATCTACAACTATTTACGAAGAGAAAATCCAAATACCCAGGGTGGTGGTGAATTTTCCAGGATCATTGTCTTCTGCAGCTGCACGATTATTGCTGGGGTATTCATCATTAAGCTCTGCTCTTCTGTCACAATTCTTTCAACAAGCAAACTGGAACCAGTTGTTTTACTTAGAGATTATCCACGAGACACCATCTAAATTGAATACTGTTAAACAGCAATTACATGACTTCTAGCACCGGTCATCAGGCTTCTTGGAGCAGATGAGCATATTGTATGGGGGAGGAAAAGGAAAATGATCTGTTTGGGGAACTTCTTATGTATACATGTGGTTATATTCACAATATATGATCATCACAATAAACATCACAGTTCTTTATAATTGTGAACTATCCCTTGAAGTTAATAGATATTTAGGGTACGAGAAAAAGAGAGAGAGTGAGAAGGCACATGGGTTCAAAACTAATCACATGATACAGTAATTTTTTTCAAAGAAAATATAACCAGGTCAACATGGAAATTGCTGTTACTATTTAATTTCAATATGTCTGTAAACCTAATAGACCTCATATCTCTAAGGCAGTGACTGCTTCCTTTTGATTCAAATTCAGCAAACAGTTGGGCTAGGTGTTTTTCCTGACCTTCCTTGAGCTAGTCCAAATATTCTTCTATGCACCAAATGACATTGTGAAATATCTCTATTAATTACACGAACATCACTGTAGATACATTGAAATGCTCTGTATTTAACTGTTTTATTTCCAAGTTTTCTCCAGTCTGCTAAAATAGAAACTTCTCAAACTAATAACTTTTTCTTATTCACTGCCTGTATATAGAAGTCTCTTAGTAGAGATAGCAACATGAGTAATATATATGACATTAAATGTGAAAACACTAGCCAGACACAAGAATGATAAGACCTGAGATATAATGATAGTTGCAATTTAGGAATGTATTATTATTATTTGAACAAACTAGTATTTACTAAAATAATATAGCTTTAAAAAGCCAAAAATGTAATCCTTTGGTAGCATATAGCATTAGTTTAATATCCATGACCTGTTTCTTATATTCCTATGAACATTTAATACATTTTATTAACATTTGATTTAAATTTTAAAGTAAACAGTCTTAGCAAAAACAATAGGAAAGTATTAATAAGTGGTAAGACATGTTCTCTTGAATAAAGTAACACCGAATGAGCCTTATTTGAAAATACAAGAGTTTTTATATGTGGATAAGAATAGGTGGAAATTTTTGAGGGGAGCAACTGGTATACCCAAAGCAAATCTAGCATTTGTATATTTTAGAAGGATAACCTCACCGCCCCCCCGCAAGGAAGGGGACTGTTGAATACCTTAAAGTTGTAAAGGGGAATTTCATTCAAAAAATCATTTAGATTTTGACTTACTGGAAGCATCTGGTGGGCATCTGAGCAGTCTCTTCAAATCAAAATGTTTTGGGACTACATTGTCAGAGAACTGCCTCCTTATCTGTGTACCTTAGCTGAAGCTTTAAGGATATCCTTTGAAATCTTGTCTTTTGTTTCTTTTTATATGATGTGTGGTGAGTGAAATGTCATTGCTTTTGATTTTTTTTGTGTGAAACAGGACTAAATTCCCATTTAAAAGCAAAGAATGAGGTTACCTTGCTTGATGATTTAAAGAAAAGACTTCTTTGTAATATATTTAAGACATTGAAAATGCCTTTTGTCCTCAGGGTAGCACTGTAGTTCTTTGGTGCTTGCGTCGATATTGCAATTTAATACTGCACCTACAAAGAAAATTACAGTTTTTAAACTGTTTATTCTAAGTGCTTTCAAAATGAAGACACTGCAAAAGTGGTAAAAGTATGTTTAAAAATGAAGTAGAAGATTATTAATTCCTTAAAGATCAAGAATATTGCAAATTCAAATGATCCCATTCATTATCAACATGGGGTCCCTCTACAGGTTTGCACATTATAATATGTTCTTAAAATGGGATACAAAATGACTTTCTAGATCAACTATTTATACTTTATAGCTGCTGAATTTTTTTCTTCCTGTGAAATGTTTGTTTTATTGTGTGAAATATTAATGTACATCAAGACTATAAATGAAATGTTAAATCTTATTACATCCAGGTTTTTATGGTACTTTATGCACTTTAAAGAATTTTGAGTGACTTAATTTTATAAAATGAATTATTTTGTGAAAAAAGTTTAATGTCATGTTCCATGTAGCAACTGCTCAATTTTTAAAAAATTAAATCTAATCCATAGTGTTTAAAGGATAGAGCACTTAATTTTTAATCTACAGACCTGGTGGCCTTGGCAAGTCATGTAATTTCCCTGTCTTTTGGTTTCCTTGTCTATAAAATGGGGAAAATTTCTCTAAGTGTTAGCCCAAGGATCCATGCTTATGAGGAGGAAGCACCTACCACGTAACAACACATGGTGGGTATTAACTACACCATAGCTATTATTATTCAAATGGCGTACTACTGAAGTAATGAAAGGGAGCTTTTATACAATTCTGTCAAACAGTTCTGGATCAGAGAACCTGAGAAAGCATTATAATGAGATATAGGCAGGTTAGGAAGTTTGGTGTTTTTTTTCAAAAATATGTAAACAAAACATGAAAAACTATAGAAATGTATTACCACATAAAATTATGTCTGTTCAGGTATCTGTTACTCTTATTAAAAATACATAAGAGTAGCCAGGTCTGGTGGTGAATGCCTGTACTCTCAGCACTTGGAGGCAGAGGCAGGAGGATCACCATGAGTTTGAAGCCAGCCTGGGCTACAAAGTGAGTTAAGGCCAGGTGCCTGGAACTACAAAGAGAGATCCTGTCTCAATAGCCCCCCACCCCAATACACAAGACAAGTACAGTTTGCTATACTGTAGTTTAATTATTAAGTTGCTAGGACCATGATGATTTGATCTTATTATATATATATATATATATATATATATATATATATATATATATTACAAGAGAGCAAACCCATGATGCCAACGTAGTTTGGAGAAGCCTAGGATTAGAATGTACACATATATTCATCCTAGGAACCAATGGATCTTTCATTCACTTTTTTTTGGTACTGGGGATGGAACTTGGGACCTTGCGCTTACGAAGCAGGCAGAGGCACCACTGAGCTAAATCCCTGGCCCAGGAACCAATGGCTCTTTATGGGGCCAGTGTATTAGTTCCAATATAATGATATTGTTTACACAAATATATATCAAATAAATTTTTTTAACCTTATTACAAATAAAAACTTTTAAATCTGTATTTCCTCACCCTGGTTTGGAAATTGATAAAACAATTTAAAGCTGAAAAGCCTAATCTATAATGATTCAATAAATCACTTAAAAATAGCTTATGTAAAACTGGAAAAAATTATAAAAACTCCGAAGTGTAGATTAACCATAAAGCCCAGTCATCTAAGTTGCTAGTGCATTTTTGGTGGAGCACATTTAGCTTCTTCTAGTTATCCAGTTTGCCTAGCTGCCAGTTCTCAACTATGAAAAGGATCAAAAGTCCACTAGAGCTTTTGTCAGTGCACAGAATAGTTATTTGAAGATGGTGCCTGGCCAGAGATGTAAAGGTATATAAAAAGAAAAGAAGATGATAGGCCTAAATTCAGGACTATTAGCATATTCACGATGGCAGAGGTATGGGCTAAGCCTGGTCACAGGGGAAAGGTGGCAGCGTGAAAATTAACAAAGCTGCCTCACACAAAGGGACTGACTGGTGGTGCGTTGTTCGTGCCTGGTCCTTGATGGCAAACACAGCCTGTGTTAAGACTGTAGTGGCAGTTTATTTCAGTGGCTTTAAAACTGTCTACATGTACCATAGATTTAATGTGTAAAATGAGAAAAACAGTATTTAATATTTTCTAGGAATCTTTGATTTCAGGATCAAAGATCTGAATGATTGTTAAACCATAAATTTCTTCCTTAGTAACACGATAAACATCTGGATTATTGGTTACATTTTTAAATGTTCACTAACATCTTGGGAATATCAACATTTTTAATTAATTTTATTTGCTTGTTTATAGCTTTGGATTTGGTATTATTTTATTCCCTTATTTTATCCCAAGCTTGTTTTTTATTTGTTTTTGCTATTTGCTGTAAATACAGATAGAGGTTTAGAGTTTGGCATTTGCAGTGTTGTCCACTGGTGACAGTGTAGTGGACAATATTTGTTTATTTTCACAGCACAAGTACTACTTGACTCATACTGAATGGTTTTCTGTTGAAGAGTCTTTGGTTTATAGATCTGCTTTACCTTGGTTTCTGAATTTGCTGAAATCCTTCATTTCTGCCCTTGGTTTTAACACCTTTTATTTGTTAACCTTTAAAATACTCTCAAATCTTCAACGATAATGAAGTCATTGGCTGTTTTAATTAAGATAGGCAGAATAAAGTCAAATGGAAACTGTCATTTGATGGTTACAATAAAAAGATATAAAAGCTGACTTTTTCTTTTCCAAGAAAATTATGCTGGTGTCCGGCACATGTTGCTATCCTTAAAGGTTTACAAATTCTCAACCATCTGTAAAAATATGTACTCTTGCTTAATATTACCTAGGTATACCTCAAGAAACTGTCAAATTTATTGTTACTTCATTACAGTAAGTATTATAAATTCTGGAAAGATGGGCGTAATTGTGGTAGCTGGCATTTTACACTCAATAAGTGCTTTCTTAATTTTGTCCCTTTGCCACGAGTCTCAGCAGAACACCTGTCTTTTGCTACCTGCTTGGTACGGAATGGCACTAAGTGGGATCAGATTAGCAGCTGGGAAATGACTTTGTGAAACTGTTTAGGGACATGAATTTGGCAGAGTTCAAGGCTGTGGGTTTTTTCTAGTGCAAATTACCTAACAACTTTAGATTCCGGCAGAAGTTGGAGTTTATTTTACAAAACACGAAAAAGCTTTTAAACCAACGTCTTTGAGGTAAATTTGCAGCAAAAGTGAGGCCACCTGCTGTTTAGAAAAGTGCTTACACGTTCAGCACATTTCTATCCCCAATAGAGGGTACTACTGAGTAAAACACTGCCATTATTATTCAGATCCTATAGGTGGCAGCAGTTCCTACAGTTTCAGAGCGTAACAATAGCTCGATTTGTGGGTCTAAGAATAAAGCTGTCATGAACTCATGGGATCTTTATACTGTAAGGGCTCTTCTTTGAAATGTGATACGTGAGAAGATTACCATTTAGTTTTTAGTTTCCCTTTTAAGATTTAAGTAGCTTATCTTTCTTTCAAGTTCCATTTTTTATTTGAAATCGTGTCCCAAACAGTGGTAACAGCCATAATTTTATGGTGTTACATTATGAAGTATAAATCTCTAGGTAATCAGAGGGAAAGATACCACGCAAACTTTCCCCCTTCTCCTTCCCCCATCCCAGTCCCTGCACTCTGCCCAATTACTAGAATAATCCATTTTTAATTTTGACTGCTGTTACAATCTTGAGAAGGAGGAAATCCTAGTTGCTATCTATACAAGAATAATTTTCCTCCTGCTCAGAAGCTGAGTGGTTGATGGTTTAACAGTGTCATTCAACTTCTAGGAGGCTTTGAACCAAATTGCAGCACCCATAAAAGGGTGATTTTGTAACTGACTTTAATAAAAAGGAATTTTGTATAGTATTGTGGTTTTTGTTAGTTGACTGAGAACTGAGGAAATAAGTACTCTTAGAGCAACTCACCTTTTGCCTCTGAGAAGAAGCAGAGCCCATGTCATTTTGGCTGGTTACTTGCATGTGAATACACAGACACACATACGTGCACCCTCCACCTATCCAAAGTAAACCATAGGTATATAGATTATTATTCATTCCATTTTAATGGTAAACATCATTATTTAAAATTCACTCCCTGAGATTTTGTTTAACTCGGAGTTGCAAAATCCTAAGTGAAACTTTTTTTCAGTTCACGTCAAAATAGAGTTAAGTATACCTCTGAAAACGTTTATTCAGAAATCCAGCAATCATTGTCTTATTATTCAAACGAAGTATCCAGAAACTTTAACATTATAATTTATTCAAACAACTATGAAAATCTGAGAAATCTATGTATTTTTTAATTTAGAAAAGATTAGGTTCATTTTATTTACATTTAATATAACAAGAATAGTAAATTAACTGCAATGTATAAATATCTAAAATACTTTGAAAGGAATAGGTTAAACTATTCTTTTGAAGCTGAACTGTTTTATCAATTCGATGCATTTTTAACTTTACTGCATTCTAGTTTTCAAAATTTGAGTAAATACAGTATTAAATTATTCCAAATTAAAATGACACATATGCATTACATATACTACATTACATATACATACATTACATATACATATGATATGTATATACATACACACATACACAGAGATGCATGTATTTCTTTTAGATAAAGGAAATCTAAGGTTTTAGCTTGTGGAACATCATATAAGTATGAAGTACATGTCTCTCTCATTGATATATCGTAATTATTCAACTGTATATTCAAAATGGTGTTTTTCATGAGAATGATGAGTATTAGTTATGGATACTTCCATATCCCATTTGTTGATATAAAAGGAAACAGAAATGTAAAAGCATAACAGTTTGCTTGGAACCTTACAGTCTCTCAATAGTTACATTGTGCATTTGTCTGCTACTTAACATACCATGTTGTTTTTAAAGCAGTGAATGAAAGCAAAAATACAAGTCCATTTATTTTTGAATTCTTTTAATATTAAATATTCTTTTAAAATATGTTTCTGAGGACATAATGATAATCTATTTGGAAAAAATATTTTTTTCTTGTTTTTGCTGTTGTTTTTAGCACACTTGGAATAGCTAGCTGAGTAGCAAAAATTCATCAGTTAAGGTAAGGCTTTCTAGGTTGTCTGCAAACATTGTGTCTTCTCTTTAAAAATATTTCAACCAGCTGAACACTAAGCCAAAACATTCCACTATTTTTTGGCTATTCTTTTTCAGAACCTTTCTTATGTTAAAAATAATTTTAGTGTATGTTAATTTCTTATATAAAGTGAACATGTAAAGGTGATCATTTTGCTCTAGTTTAGAAATTTTGGAAGTATTTTAGCAAAATGCTAAATGTCTTTCAATTAATTTATATGACCATTTAAAACGTATGTCATAATGTTAAAATTGGTATTTGCTTTTTGTAAATAAAATCATTTTAATGAATGAAAAGCTTTTGATGAATCATAAACTGTGAAAGCTTGGAGTTGTTTTTAGGAATCGAAACGTGGACTTAAAAAATAAGATAAAGGGCCGGGGATTTAGCTCAGTGGTTTTGCTGCCTGCCTTGCAAGCACAAGGACCCGAGTTCAATCCCCAGTACCAAAAAAAAAAAAAAAAAGATAAAAAATATTTTAGCCATCACAAGTATTGAAAAAGAAGGGCTGGGGATTTGGCTCAGTGGTTTCGCCGCCTGCTGCGGAAGCAGAAGGATCTGAGTTCGATCGCCGACACACACACACAAAAAAGAAAATAACTTATTTGATTAAGCTTGCAAACTCTGGCCTCATTCCAACCCCAAGTTTTAAAAATTTCAATCCCTTATAACTAAAAGTTCTATATTTAAAATGAGTATGCATTTAGTTTTCCAAATTTAATAATAATAAATTTCAATATTACTTAGATACTATCTGAAAGTTGTTTACAGAAACTGTTGACAGGATAAGATTAAGTCATATTTTGAGGGGAATTTTAGGGCTTAGAGAACAATATAATAGATTGAAAGGAAGACTTTCAGGAGAGGGAGTGCAGTGACTGATATTTTGAATTTGAGAAAGCAGCAGGTGTAATAAACCCGTGGTTCTATGTAATGTGTGGACAATGACCTTTTCTTACTAATTGAATTTTTCTGTTTAACCTATTACCTATATATCATGTATGTGAACAAGTTTGAAAGCATTAGAATATAATAACATAAACCTAATTTTACCTATATAGTCACCCCTTGGTATCAGTGGTGGATTGGTTCTAAGACCCACTTCGCCCATGCCAAAGTCAGCAGGTCCCAAAGTCCCTCATGTACATGCCATGTTATTTGCATATAACCTATACACATCTCCCCTTCAACTTTACATAATATCTACTGATATTTTAGAAAACTGCTTATGGAGAAAGAATTTGATAATGATTGAGCTTTCTGGTTACTTGGATTCCAGATGAATAAGAGTTTGTTAATATTAATAATGTACATTTAAGTGAGCATATTTGTTTATAAACATTTTGCTAAAATATTATATAAGCATAGTTCTATTCTAGTAGTAGAATAGAATTTAAAATACCAGAGCCTCAATCATATTTTTTTATTGGCCTTCTATAAATTTCTGGACTCTAGATATGATCTTATCATTCATCTTAGGAGAACCCTCTTTTCAGAGAGGGTAGAATCCTTGTTGAGCATTTATTAATGAGCATGTTTCTTTCTGTGGAGAGGAGAATAAAGACAGGAAAAAATAAATAGTATCATAAACCTACCAGGTATTCTAGCTTATAGGGGGATTATTTTATCCCTTCACATAAAACACATGGTCTTCTGAGCTATAGCCATGTAAAATCAGCCTCTGCTTAAAGTTAGCATTTCCAGTAGAGACACCAAGAATTATGATGCCAGTGCTATAGCTTCTGAGTTTCCTCTAATCCAATCTATGGCAAGACATGTGCTAGCATGGTGTGCAACAAAGAATATTGTACAGGCTGCTACATCTGACCTGTCCCCTTTCAGGCCTGACTGACCAGCCTCATCTGCTGTCTTACCTGAGTGGATATGTCACCCTCGGTCAGTACTGGAAACAAAGCAGACTGTGAAATTTGGGTTTCTTAACATGTAAAGTCAACTTCACATTCAACTTAAGTGGGGTTTTTTTTGTACTTTTTCTTCTTTATGCCCTTTTAGGAAAACATAGTTTTGGGGTTTTTTTGTTTTGTTTTTGGTACTGGGGATTGAACTGGGGTCCTTGCGCTTGTGCAGCAGGCGGCGAAACCAAGTTTTGGGTTTTTGTTTGTTTGTCTTTGAGACAGGATCTTACTTACTATGTTGTTCAGACTGGCCTTAAACTCCTGGCCTCAAGTGATGCTCCTGCCTTGGCCGCCCAAGGAACTGGTACTACAGGCCTGTGCCACTGTGCCTGGCTCCTTTCAGAATAGCAAGGATAAAATCAAAGTGAATTACTCATGAATTCAACAACAGTTATTGACCATTAAAATGTAGAGATCCAGCAGTTTCTGTCCTAAAATCCATTGTGATCTAATGGATTGTATTAGCTTTAAAGTTGTCAATTAGTTAATGTGATATATTAAATATAGGTGATGTATGCAGAATAGTGGGGCACACCTCCAATCCCAGGATTAGAAGTCCCAAGAGAGGGGGCAGGATGATTGAAAGTTTGACCCAGCCTAGGCGCCCCAGGAATTTAGTGAGACACTGTCTCAAAAAAATAAAAATGTGGGCCAGGGAGTTAGCTCAGTGGTGCCACCACCTGTCTTGCAAGCGCAAGGATCCGAGTTCAATCCCCAGTACCAAAAAATAAAAAATAAAAAATAAAAAAAATAATTAAAAAGGTGGAGGATATAGGTCAGTGTAAAGGCCCTGGTCTGTGCTCAATCCTGAGTACTACAAAAAACCAAAAACCATAGAACATAGGCTATACAATTGCTCTCTTACATATAGAAAGTCTGCATATGAGTAATTACAAAATCTTGATGGCACAGCTCAGCTGGAATCCAACATTACTGATTCCCAATTTATACCATTGTTTTGAAGTTTGCTTGTATGTTGGGTGTTAGAGAATTCATGGCACAAGAATGTATGAAAGCCACCATGTACCTGAAATTTGAAGGGAAAATAATGCTTTTGCTGTACTTGTAATAACATAAAATGAAACAATGATATGAGAAATTATTCATTTTAGAAATTGGTATTCAAGTAAAAGTAGGTGCTGTGGTTTGAATGTGTCTTTCAAAACTCACATTAGAGACTGAATTTTCAGTGTGGCAATGTTGAGATGTGAGAACTAACTAGGTAGTCAAGTCGTGAATGAATTAATGCCTATTATAAATGGGCTTGAGAGCTGGGCATGGTAGCTCATGTCTGTAATCCTGGCACTCAGGAAGCTGAGGCAGGAGGATTGCCTCAAGTTTGAGGCCAGACTGGGCCATGTAGTGAGTTCAAGTCCTGCCTAAATTACATATGAGACTTTGTCTCAAAACATCATAAAATGGGGGAGGGGAATCAAGGCTGAGTCCAACCTCTTTCTCTTTTCCATGTGATGCATCTGCCATGTTATGACACAACAAGAAGGCCTCACTAGATGCAGCCCTTGATCTTGAACTCCCATCCTCTGCAATTGTGAGCCAAATATATTTCTGTTCATTATAAATTACCCTGTCTGTGCTATTCTGTTATAGCAGTGGAAAAGAGACTAAGACACGATCCTAATCAAAATAGGAGTGAGCATGAAGAATCTTTGTATTGTAAAATTCTAATAATGTAATTCCCATTGACTTTGAAGAGTGACATGAGCAGAATTTGTGAACATCCCCTGAAATTTAAAACAATAATTATAATAATGTATTTTAAGAGTAGTCTGAGCAGTTGCCTCTTTAAAAAATATGTTTTTGGGGACTGGGTTTATAGCTTTTAGTAGAGTGGATGTTGAGCATGCGTGGGGCCTTAGATTCACTCACAGGGTGGGAAAAAGTTTCCCTGAAAAATCTCTTAAGGGTCTGAGGCAAGTTCGTAAGAATCAAGGGCTTGCTCCGCAAGCAATGCCATGAGCCT